AAAGTAAGACGAAACGCGTCGAATAAAGAATTTTTACAACTACTGTTCACAGAGTGTTGCTGACTAGTTTAGCTTTCAAAACTATTTATTTTTCACTCGACAGGATAAGAATTGTTGCATCACACATTTCTACGTAATATTTTTTGCTGTTTGTTTAGTAATCGATGAGTTTTAAAAGCGCCTTATGCTAGGAGTGTTAATAGATATAAAAATATTTCAAATACATCAGGGTTATAGCATAAGCGTGTACGGGCACGACACAAACAAACTGTTAATCCAACAGAAAAAATAAAATAAAAAAACCTGCGATAGCAAAAATTTCCAAAAAAAATAACACTTTTAACTGAAATCAGGGAATATCTTCTCTTAGGGAATTGGGTAACAACCAGATAAAGGAGCTGCCACCTGGAGTCTTCAACAACAACACTGAGTTGATCTCACTGTACGTAATCGATTTTCTTGGCTCTTGTAATGATAGCCTTTGATGTGCCAAGATTTTAGTCTCATTGTTGACTAAATGTGATCAAGAAGGTCCTGAAGCTTAGTGGATGTAGTCAGCCATTAAAAGGGTGAAAGAGAGTGGGACAGTCCATAGGTGGACGGAGTTACGCAGAAAAGAGTAACCTATCCCAACTATACAATCCTTTCAGTTTTATAAATTATCATATCCTAGCTTCTGACGTTGGTCTACGTTTAGTAAATTCCATTTTCTATTCATTTTATAACTTTGTTTTATTTGCCAGTATGAGAAGGAGATTTCAAGTGTTCTCTCTCAGAACAGGCTTTGCTCTTCGCACTTCTTTTCGCACCAATACTACAGTCAAACGCGAGCAAGATTTATACTTTGCCAAGGACTGTTAAAACAAAGCTTTCTTACCTTACAGTTTCTTATACGGCAACAGGATCAAGAATTTGACCAACAATGCATTCTCCCAGTTAATAAAGCTTCAGTGGCTGTAAGTGACAAGTTGTCCTCGCATATCACCTATTACAAGTGTCACAACTCATATCATAATCCGAATAGAGCATATTCTTTTTCATCGATCAAATCCTTCAACCCTTAAATATCTGCTTAAGCACACAGACCGATAAAGAACGCCCGCAATCAATGATCAAAGATATAACGTCTAAATCTAACAACAGACAAGATCTGGGTAACAAGATCAGGTACATCAAAAGCCAAGCATCGTGTGAATCTGTTTAGAGTCGCAAATTAAAACAAGGGTCTTATTAAAGCTGAATAAATTACTTTCGAAGTCAGAAGTTGTTAGTTCTCTGCCAAATTTCAAACAATTTAATTGTAACACTCTTTTAACTCTTCTCCTCTACAGACAACTTAACAACAACGGCCTAACAGGGTTACAAGAGGGTTTGTTTGATGGTTTAAGGGCATTGACACACCTGTGAGTAAAGAAAATAAAATTTTAAAAATACAAAATGGAAATAGTTAAAATTATTTGTGACAAGTCGGACACCTGCAAATTGAAGGTGAAAAAAATAATAAGTTGCTGAGAAAGAAAGAAAAAATACAAAAATGTTGCTGTAAGGGATCATAATTTTATACCTTAGTTATTACATGTTTGTTGGATGAATGAGCAAAATAATGCGTAGTAAGGATATTCCAGTAACTTAAATAAAATAATAAGAGCCAGTCTTATCGAAACTATTAGAAATCAACTTTAACAAAAAGTTAGTAAGTCAGGATGTCTACCAGTATTCTGTTTCTGAAGTTAGTTTGGAAAACTCATAATACTTGGAAAATGTGAAAAATTTACCTATCTTTGTCGTATTATTCTTTTTATCAGATGGCTACAAAACAATGGAATCAGAAAGCTTCCTAAACACGTTTTCAAAGATTTGACTAATTTGGAAGAGTTGTGAGTATGATAAAAAAGAATTGTGTTCACAAAAAATATTGAATCTTTCAATATCAATGTGACTCCATCATCTGCTATCACCTAAGGACATTCGAAAATACAATTTTAGCCCAGCCAGCGTACTTTTATGTTGCCAAAAATGCGCACTAGTCGTTACACGAACACATTTATTCCATCCATGTCCATTTTATGCGTAGTTTATTTTATTATAATCATTTTATATTTTACGAAGTTACTATTTTATAAATGTGTATACGACTTTAACTTTTTGAAAATTTCATGCAATTGAGCCTTAGGAGGCTGCGATTCTGGATATTTTAATAAACTTTCTCTAACATCTCTGATCTGACCAGTATTTCGTCATCCGCGGTCGTGGTTTTTAAACATTTTACATTTACTATGATGCGTGAGTAAAGAGCCTGAAATCTAAATATAACTGGAGTAGCTCAGTGCTCATCCATCGTTAAGTATTAAAACAGATTGGCGTCTAGCGAAATGTAGCGCACGAGCTGTCTGGCTGTTTCCTCAGACTGTCTATCTTCATGCGAACTACATTCCGGCTGGTGATATTTTCTCTGAATTTCTGAAATGCATTTCCCCTTGAACCTTTCAGGGATCTGTCTAATGACAAGGTTAAGAGTCTGGCACAAGACGTCTTTAGTAACTTAACAAATCTTACGAGCCTGTAAGTCAACAACATTAAAAACAAAACTAGCCACGACGAGGCAACAGTCCTCATCCTAATCATGATCGACTTACGAAAAGTGCTCAATTTCTGTCTTAAATTCAACAAACGCAGGAAATAGACGTTTTGAACTTGAACTTTCATTACAGTACTGTTATCAAGTTATGTCTTTCCACTTGATCTAATTAAACATGTTCACCAAAACATATCCCACAGAATGAATGCAAAAGACATATCTCTCTATCGTTTGCATTATAAAAATTACCGTCAATCTTACCAGTTGCAATCATAAGTTACGGGAACCATTTTGTTTTGCCGTTAAACGCAAACGATAGGTGTTTTCCATACACTGAAACCTATTATTCGTCAATGTCTTGCTTGCTGTTTCGTGCTTGTAGGTTTTTGTCCAAAAACCAGATTGAAGAATTACCACCAAAGATATTTGTTTACCTGACCAAGCTTAAGACATTGTGAGTAGAGATGGAAATCTTGAAATATTAATTAGCTGACAGTCGATTGATTGATTTATCAAATTGGGAGATAAAACAGTAAAAGAGAATGATAAAAGATCCTGAATGTTAAAGTACGGGAAAGAATTGTGACACTTTTTAAATTGCTTTCGAACTGGACTATTTTACAATTATGTGAGGTTTAGGATGGATCAATGTACTTCAATTTACTGTCAAAATTAATCAAGGATTGCTCTTGATTTGCTTTCATCACCCTTATCATTAATCTAAAACATGCGCCGCCTTTTCAACCAATTGGATTCAAAGCTAAAACCAAGCGCGACTTGGTCATGCTCCATCACTGAAACTTAAAGCCATGTGCTAGTTTGTATTATTTTTAGTTCTGACTGCTGTCATCAATTTTTTTCCTTTTAATTGGTTGTTGCGGTTACTTTGGCTTGGGATGGAGAAATCGTAATGGAAAGGCACGCTAGATACGTTGGCGCCTATTCAAATTTCAAATTAAGAAGAAGGTTGATCACTAACAGGTTTCTGTATTACAATTTAACAGAAAAATAGAGGAAAACAAGTTAATAAAGCTCCATCCAAAACAATTTCGCGGACTGGCAAAGCTGTCTGAGCTGTAAGTAGTTTATGTATTGATTCGAGTTTTCTATGGGTCTGGTTTCTGCATGTAGGTTGACCTTGCCTTATTGACAGCCTTTTTCCTCATCGCAATTTCCTGCAGAAAGCGCTTGAACCGATCACGTTTTCCATATTTATTTAAAAATTTAAGGCCCTGTGTCACAACTTCCCCATGTTTTTCCTGAATACATAATATAAATGCATGCGGAGGGTCTGTGGAGATTGCTGGAAAACCTACAAGCCGGGTTAGATATAATGTAGACAATTTTTCAGTAACAACTTGTACATGAAGTTCCTGCAATGACCATGCTCCTCTCGAAAAGTCCAAAAACTGAAAAAAATGTATGTGATTACATTTAAAAATGTTTGTAAATTTTCTTCCTACTTATGAAAAATGCCATCTATGTCCCATTCTTTAATTCCTGAAGTTCGCCATACATTTTATTTTCTTTCTTTCCTCATTAGCTATCTGTCGGGAAACAAACTCATAAATTTGCCACAAGGAATTTTCAAAGGCCTAAAGGAGCTTTTGATTATGTAAGTAGAATATGAAATTAATTTTGTGCTTAATTTGATCGAAGTGGTATCTCAGTATCTTTTAATAATCGTACTTATCAGTTTGAGAGGCACACATCAATGTACAAAAATTAAATCATAGCTAATTGTTTTCTTTTCATATTTTTTGTAAGAGAACTCTTTGACAACGAATTGAGGAACGTTTCCATCGACAACTTCAACGAAATCAGGCAGTTAAAAATTCTGTGAGTGTTTAATTTTCATAAATGATAAATGAGAATCAAATTATGAAAGACACTGACTGCCATCAAAGGTTCAGTTAAGAAAATAATCGAAGGGCGTCTGTGGCCAACTCGTGGAAAAAAGAATTAAAGAGATATGTGCTTGTAAAGTTACTATCAGTAAACTAAGGTGTTGAAAAAAGATAGAAAGTAGAACCATTGCAAGTATAGAAATTATAGCACTTGAGTATGTGATGGAAAGCCCCTCAGTCTTTGATCTTAGCACTAATCTGAAACATTCGAAGTCCATTTCAATTTAGTAAATGTCGAAACAGCCGTGTCAAAACAATAAACTTCGCAACGATTGATGCAATTACAATGGGGCTAAGACTTCGGACTTCTTCGGAACGATAGATCTCGAATTCGAAGCCGACTAATTACGACTAATTACGAAGAGTCCATCTCAATTTGCATATCCCAAGGTGCCCACAACAACTCGTTTCTACGCTATCGCGTATCCACGAGTTAAAAAAGCACAAATCGATACGCTAAGTTTGATGCAACACTCCAGAAATGCTCTTCTATTCACTGATTTCATCCTTATCTTCTTGTCTTTAAATATCTAATTTTCAGATATTTGCATTATAACTACATGAGGGAGATTCCTTATGAATTTTTTGAAGAGTTGCAGGATATATTACGAGTGTAAGATTTTGATCAGATGTATTTGATACATTTACGGTTTATTAGTAGAGCTATATGAATAGAAAGCGCCTGGAGGTTCCTTTAATTCAAATGTTTACTAGCACAAAGCTTCAGGCAAATGAGTTTGTGGTTTCTATACCTTACTAAATATCTATGGTCACCTTTCTTCACCCTATTGACAACTTTTATAACAACCTCCATTTTGTTGGGTAATACGCCTCACAAAGACTGCTATTGCGCACTACATTGCTTCACAATATCGCGAGAAAAATTTTCGAACATATTCAATGAAGATTCATAGTTACAAAGACCCCCATATGAGGAAATGAATTCTGATTGACTGATCTCGCGTTTCATTCATGCTCTTAGGGTATAGGCTTTTGGTTTTATCTTTTACTCTATCCTTATGGACTGAATGGCATCAAATTTTACGGTTGCAGGAGTTTGGACACAAACCTGATGTGTTGTCATATGCACAAGGAGGACGCTGACTGTGCTTTCATTGATAACGACGACTTTTCCAACTGTGAGAGCATGTTCAAGAACCCAGCCCCGAGGAAGAGCATATGGGCAGTCGGCTCCCTTTCCCTGGCTGGGTCGGTGCTTGTCATCACCTGGCGTTCAGTCTTTAAGGATACAAACACGGTACAGTCAATCATGTTGTTGCACTTGGCAGTCTCCGATGGTTTAATGGGAGCATACCTAATCACACTGGGTGTCAAAGATCTGTTGTGGAGAGGAGAGTATTACTTACATGACTTCCAGTGGCGGTCCGGTTTGGCTTGCCAGATAACTGGTGCTACCTCTTTGCTATCCAGTGAGGTCTCCTTGATACTGATGGCTTTGATATCTGCAGACCGACTCAAGAACATTGTGTTCCCGTTCAGAGGTGGAGCACTTTCGTGGAAGATGACCCACATCCTTTGCGCCATCATATGGCTCGTCGGCGTCCTCCTGGCTTTCTTTCCGATGTTTGGCTTGAGATACTTCGAAGATTTTAAAACATATCACAACTATTACGGAAAAAGTGTAGTCTGCCTTCCCTTACAGCTCTCTCGTTACAAAACGGAAGGCTGGGAGTACTCTGTTTCTGTATTTGTTGGCCTCAATTTCTTCCTCGTCATATTCATCACAGTTGCCTACCTCGCTATATTCATAAGCAGAGTGCGAGTTAAAAACCAATCAGCCAACACAAGGAGGGAGACCGGTCTGGCCAAGAGAGTGTTCTTCATCATCTTCACTGACTGTCTCTGCTGGATGCCAATCATCGTGTTTGGTATGAGGTCGCTTTTGGAGAAGAATTTCGAGCCACCCAGAGACTTAGCTGCTTGGATTGCCGTGTTTGCTCTGCCCATCAATTCAGCGATAAACCCGATTCTGTACACGTTAGCAACACCAAAGGTAAAGAATAACATTTCTTCATTATCTCTTAAATCTAAATTATTTGAGGCAAGACCCGGCGGTCTGGCGCTTAACACGGTGGGTTCTTTAACGCACTGACAGGGGTCTTCTTAAGCTAGACACTCTGACAGTGACTGTTTCCATTCAGCTGTTTAAACGAGTAGTTTTAACCTGCCTGAGAAAGTTAGCTTATACTTCGTCCAAGTACTGGCCTGAATCATCCCGGTTGCTTTACACTACCAAGAGTGTGATGATTATAAAGACGTCAAGCAAGCAATCAATCATTGACACTTGTCACTCTGTAACAATTGATAAGGGAAAATGGTCAGTTGATGGACGTCGTTATTGACAATTTTCTCTCCTCTCCAGGCGCAAGAGTATCTGGGAAGCAAAATAGCAATGCTGAGAAGCTTCATACGGAGTACTTTTCACTGCAGTGAATATCAAGAGAGTAGTTATGCCCATTTTTCCATATTTTCTATTACATAGTTTATAGACTAAAATTGAAAACGTTGTTCTTAATAGTAAAACGTTCTTTCTGTGACTAACGCCACGTTTGAGATGGATATCATATTGTAGTAGTATCAATCTGTTGATTTACTCATGCCTTGTTTGATAAGGACAACAACAAGATCCACGAGAGATTGAAGATAACGGACAACAAGAAGGTAACACCATTTTTACTGAGTTCTTTTTGTCACTGTATCCTCCTAAGGAATCGTTTTCATTTACATTTTTATTTTCCCGATGTTGTCCTCCAGTTCGTTTTTTATCTTTGTTTCCCCAGATCAACAAGAAGGAGAAGCGATGGAAATGCAGATTCTTGGATTGCCACATCCAGATCAAGGTGTTTAAAATAGAATTTGCTCGTTCACTGTCCCAAACCAAATAGATATCAATTGAAGTTCCCTTCGCTTAAGTCACCCAATTGTTTTTGGGCAAAAAACAGCACAAAGAACTTTGATGGTGAAATGCACTAAAACATAGCTTCAGTCGCATTTTGAATTAGTTTTTTTTTTAAGAAACCGTTGGCTGAAATAGAATCACTCTGCGCTTGTAAGGCTAAGATTACTTTTATTTGTACTTAATTACCCTTGTGTCCTACACTTCTCGAAAGTGCCTGTCTTCTAAGTAGAATGACTAACTATAGATCCGTGTTTTGGGGAAGATGAGTCTTACACTCTTGTATTTATCCATTTATCAAGATGCACAAGAGCAGCATGGAGACAATCAAATTGGAATTGTCCAACAGCTTCACAAGGAGGGTATGTGATGACATCATTGTTGATTACAATGTTTTTATAATTATCCAGATCATTGATATCATATTGCAATAGTATTAATCTGTTGATTTACTCATGCCTTGTTTGATAAGAACAACAAGATCCACGAGAGATTGACGATAACGGGCAACAAGAAGGTATGAGCATTTTACTGAGTTCTTTGTGTCACTGTATTTTCCTCAGGAATCATTTTCATTTCCATTTTTATTTTCTTGATGTTGTCCTTCAATTCATTTTTTATCTTTTTTTCCCAGATCAACATGAAGGAGAAGCGATGGAAATGCAGATTCTTGGACTGCCACACCCAGATCAAGGTGTTTGAACAACAATTTGCTCGTTCATTGTACCAAACCAAGTAGATATCAATTAAAGTTCCCTTCGTTTAAGACACCCGACTGTTTTTGGGCATAAAAACAGCGCAAAGAACTTTGACGGGGAAATGCACTAAAAACGGAGCTTTAGTAGCATTTTTAATTAGTTTTTTTTAAGTTACCGTTCGCTGAAATAGAATCACTCAGCGCTTGTATGGCTAAGATTACTTTTTTTTTGCATTTAATCACCCTTGTGTCCAACACATGTCTCGAAAGTGCCTGTCTTCTAAGTAGAGTGGCTAGCTGTAGATTCGTGTTTTGGGGAAAGATGAGTCTTACACTCTTGTATTTATCCCTTTATCAAGATGCACAAAAGCAGCATGGAGACAATCAAATTGTAATTGACCAACAGCTTCACAAGGAGGGTATGTAATGACATCATTATTGATTAGAATGTTTTTATAATTATCGAGATCATTGGATTCATTCGAAAATGTATCTCATAAAATGTCGTTAAAAGATCGTTTTGCTTTTGTTCTTGTGTTAGGAAGCTTATTTGCTCACTTACTTCTATGTGTATTTAGATCAGCAAGGAGCTGAAATGCTAGAAATGCAGCAAATACCTCCTCAAGAACAAGGTCATTCACAACTTTTTCTATCTGGTCAAACAAACAACAAAATAAATAATAACTGTCCATTTTACTATTAGTTTTCCAGCTTATTCGATTAGCATTATTGTGGTTTTTCTTAAACTTTCTTTTCCTTTCAACTTTAATTTAGAAGAAAGCCACGAAGGAGATGAAGACGTTGTTGAAGAGAATGATCTGGAATATGATACAAAGTTGTAATCATTGGTCGATAGAAGGATATCAAGTAAAACACCAGTTGAACCCTAAACTTCTTTGTAATCTTTAATACATAATTAATAATTAGTAATCCTTTTAACTTATTTCATCGTTATAGGTAAAGATAACTTGATGTAATTAGGATGATACGTTGAGCCTATAGGACTGTTGATTCTAGACACCTGCACACAGTACGATCGTTTAAATCGCGAGGGGGAGGTGCCCTGTTAATAGCAACTGATGGCTCAGGAATAAATTTATCACTTACATGAAGCTAGATTTCCCTTACTGTAGTCAGTGAATGCTCAACAAAAATATCAATATGTATTATTACTAACAAAGGATTAACTGTAAAATGAAGATTTCCACCAGTAGTCGTAATAGTTTGGTTAAACGCAGTAGGTATATTTAAGACAAGATTACCCTCCAACTTTTCCCGATCAGATCAGACATGAAAAAATATCTTGCAAAGTCGATAATTTCATTAAAAAAATTTGATCTTACTTTGATATCACTGACCTTCTGATTCCAACGGTTGTTCTCCATGTAACAGTCAAAGAAAAAATATGTACTTTCTTACAATAAAATGATAATAGATGATAGAGTTTAAAATAAGAAAGAACAGTCGATATGGTAACTACATATACTCACAAATCTTAACAAGCCTTTCATTGCTTTGCATCTCTTAGTGTCGGATATATATCGTGAACAGACCTCAGGGGAGAGCAAGACTACCTTGCAAGAAAAATATACCATCTTTATCAACAACATATATAGCCTCTGTTCACATATTATCATTGATCTAATGCTACATATATTCAATAACTGATAATAAAACATTCAATATTTCTTGTATAATTATTATTTTAGTCGAAGAGAATGAAGAAAATCATCAGAAAAAAATAAACATGTAGCTAATACAGCGAAGTAGCTTGACAACTTTGCAATATCATTTTTAAACTTTTTCTTTGTCTTAATGTTTAGATAACGTTTCTGTCTCACTCACGAGTTACGATTAACTCCTTTAAGTTAGTTTGCATCTATCTGCATGTCAACGTTAGTAGGTAATGATAGTAGATAATAATCTGCAAGTCGTAGTTAGTAGAAAATGATATGAGGTTAGCATAACACTAAATTTGATGTAATTTAAAATAAAAATAAAAAATTAACACTATCAAAAACCTGTATCCGGCGGTGATACATGAAGTGTTTTTGTGTGCTTCACCAAACGCAAATCACCAAAACTGGTGAGAAGTCCTGGATTGGCCAGTCAAACACTGATCCCATTGTTTAGAAAGAATTTACTGGAGTTGCCTAGGTTGATCAAATTCCTCCCTCCCCCTCCCCCCAGACTTAATGAACAGTCTCAGTGCATTGTATTTTAACTGTTGAATTCATATTGTTTCTCGTAATAAATGATGATAAAAATAAGAAAAAAGAGAAAAATACGTGGGAAGCTAGCTTTACTTGGTTAGTTCATCAAATATCTTTTAAGAAGGCGCGCTGGGGAAACTGGAACCCCTAAACTAACATAGATTATGTCAATAGAAGGTGAGCACATGGAAAACGATACAATAGGTTGTTTTGGAGAACTAGTTCTTTGAGGATCTATTCTGCTGATAAAAGCTATTCATCTCCCTCCGTCTCTTAGTGTATACTAAAACAACTATTCACCTCAGTGTCGGTTGCAAGCCACTAGCCACCTACACTGAGGTAATTAGCAGTTAAATAGGATTAACTTGGAAAGGAAGTTTGAGTTTTAACTTAACAGTGATTTTGTCATTTTATGGACAGCAGCCAGGAGAAGGGCGTAAAGTATATGTCAATGTAAATACGAACATGGTTCTTCATTATCCGGACACGCTCTAGGTCTTTGCTTAAATAAGCAGTAATGCACGGGAATACAAGGGCGCACAATACTCTAACACCGGCTTAATGCAGGTAAGATACAAACACATAATATAATGAGCCGAAACATTCAGTCGCACCTTTAGCAATATCAAGAAATGTGTAAGTTTATTGGCCCCTTTGATTACATCAGAGACATGACAATTACATTTAAAGATATTAGACGTGGTTATCCCTGATATGTGGTTTGGGCAACAAGTTCAAGTTCCTTGGAGTTGACGGTTACAACGCCGAACTGGTGTTGGTTCCCTTGAAGTCAATAATCAGTTCTTTGCACTTATCTGAGTTCAACTGAAGATTTTTGTAAGCAGACCACTGCTCTGGTGCTTTTACAGCGCTTTGGATTGTACCTCTACTACCTTTGGAATGATGAGAGCATGCAGCGTAGAAGATTTTAAGGTAACGTCAATTTGGCCAGGATCGATCTTCTCGGGGTAGCTAGGCCTTCGTAGATACTTGCTCGGCCAGCTTTGACAGGGCCAGGGTTACCGATATTGGTCTTACATGTTTGGTAATAACAGTGGCTAGTTTCTCCTTAGGCAGTGGGATTACGTCAGCACAGCAGGTCGATGGAATTCGCGATCAGCGGATTTTGAGTCCGCTTACGTTGCCCTACTTAATGTTAATATTATAAAATCGCTCTCAATTGTAATTTTTTAAGCGACTTGAAATAAGCCCATCATGTGCTTTAATGAAATAAGTGTACATCCAATTATAATCCATCAAATAGTTTTGCTCATGCGCGTTTTGTACAAACGCAACCCCGCTGCAACTTACATTCGGGATCTCTTTTTGAATACTTTTACACTTAAAGGAGGAGAACATTGATATTGAAAGAGTCAATATTTCGTTGTTTTGCATTTTAATTGTAAACATAATTCTTTTTTGACATGGTTTGATGCTACTCTGGTTCCTGAAGTTACAATTCAAAGACCCAACGTTTCGACATTCCTGTCTAGTGCCTTCTTTAGTGGTGATCTAAACGCTGCAACAAGAGGTCCTTTTATATGATTGTCCACCTGGTTGCCGTGTGAACTTTAATATATAATTCATTTTTATTCTACTCAGAGCTCTTCCAAATTAGTCAAATCTTTGAAAACGTGTTTAGGAAGCTTCCTGATTCCGTTGTCTTACAGCCGTCCGATAAAAAAGACAGAATAATACTACAGATAAATGTTTTCATATCTTCCAATTGTTATGCGATTTCGGGGGGGGGTGATGAATTCGTTGATACCCGGTTTCGGCACCACTGTCGCCTTAAAGCGCATTCTGTGATCTCTTACAAAACCACTTATTGAAAACTATCCTTCCCGAGGGGAGGGCAGGGAATAAAAGTATTTGAGCGCTTGGGGGATGTTACATTTTAGAATATTTTAGATAAAAAACGTTGTTCTTTTTGTCTTCTAAACTAAACATTTGATTTTTTAAAAGCTGGTGATGACTCACGCCATGTCAATTATATTATATAAAAATGCAAAACTGGTTAAAAGGCACAATTGCTGACGGTA